CGCGCCAGTTGCATATCTGACCGTTTCCAGGCGAAAAAGTTGGTGGCCTAGAAAACTCAATCTGCGAAAGTTAGGCCACTATGTGAAAATGACCTAGGAAACACACCAAGGACATGTTAGGGCATTTTTAGGCCATATTGAAGTGGTGGCCTAGGAAACCAAACTTGCAAAAATTAGGCCACCACTGCAGTGGCGGCCTAAAATTCTCAAATTTTTGAAAAATCCAAAATTTCAATGTTCAGTCAATCCCTTCGAAAAACCAATTCAAAAATCCGCGATTTCATCGACACCCAACTTCCAAAATGCTCGATTCTCAAATTGCTCATCACTATTTTATTGGATACCGTAGTCCTCCAAATCCACGTGTCAAATTCTGATCTACCGTACCCAGCCGGTGGATTACTGTACCTCACCTACAAGAGGGATGAGGAAACTTCTGGCGCGAAAGTTTCTTCGAATTTCAGAAAATCTGAAATTCGAGTTCCCGGAGAAAATTTCGAAAATTTGGCGATTTCTGATTTTTTGGAAATTCTGAAATTCCAGGGAAAAAATCTGGAAGTTCTGGAAATATTAGAAATTCGTCAGGAATCTGAAAATTCAAAATTCTTGAAATTTTTAATTGAAAAACATTTGAAAATCCCGGCGAAAACGCTGAAAATGAAAGTTTGGAATTCTACAGATATTCTGAAATTTTTGAAACTTCTGAATCCGAATTTCCTCAAAAAATTGGTCCTGGAACGTCCGGAAGATATCGAAGAATCCCATATCTTTTTGGGATTGCTGGAAAATGAGAATTGGCGAAAAAATGAGCAATGGATGGCGCTGGAAGCGCTCGAATCGCCGGATTATCAGTTTTCCTATGACGTCAAAGATTATTTGCATTTGAAAAGAGTGCATACAGAGTTATCAGTGATTTCTTGGAGGAACATGGACACTTTAAAAAAGGTAATTACCGTACAGCCTGTAATAGAAGGACCCTCAACTTTGAGCCTATATATCTCGATTCTATCAAAAGATATTAAATAGCTGTCAACTAATAAAATGTTTATCTCAATATCATAAACATTTTATCAGTTGACGCTTTTTTGATATCTCTTATCGGAGCCAAGATAATTGAGCTCAAGCGTCAAGCGTCAGCAGCACGTGCAGTGGGCCAAGGCGACCTTGGCTCTTGAGCTTAATTATCTCCGTTCTTATAGAAGATATTAAAATGTGGTCAACTGATAAAATGTTTATCTCAATATCATACCCATTTTATCAGTTGACACTTTTTTGATATCTCTTATCTGAGCCAAGATAATTGAGCTCAAAGTTTACAATGTGAGGGATTAAGATGAGTTTGGGGCATTTTTTGTAGTTCTCAAAATCCGAAATTCCGAAATTCTCAAAAACTTTCCTAGACCAAAATGTTCTAAATCTTCAGAATATCTTATCAGCGAGACCTGAAAAACACTTCCGACTGAACTACAACCATTTCCACGATCGTGACCAATTCCCACGTCATTTTGGAGCTCATCTGAAGGACGACGATGAAAATGCATTCTTCTTTTTCCGGACAAATAAGGATGAGCAATTGCTGAAAATGTCGATTTTCGGGAATTTCATCGAATTTAAATGGATTTCACCCCATGAAATGCCCCTTGAAGGATTGCCATTTATTCAGGAATATCAGATTCCTGAGAAAAAGGATTATTGGAAATTTTTGAGAGATTTGAGATATATTTTTTGATGTTTCAGCCATTTTTCATGATTTTTGGTCCATTTTTCAAACTATAAACATTTTTTCGGTTTCTTAAAATTTCAGAATGAAAAATTGATAAGAAAAACGAAGACGTCACTTTTTGCTCTTCGGAAATGACTGAAAAATGGATGACATGTTGCCAACAAAGTTGGCAAAAAAAAGGGGCGGAGCCTAACTAGAATCACTGATAAGAAGTGGGAAGTTGAGTATAAAATATAGGCAAAGAGAGAAAGTTTTGAAACAATTGGAAAATTTTAATTTTGCTCATTTCTGAATTTCTGAATTTCTGAATTTCTGAATTTCTGAAATTCTGAATTTCTGAATTTCTGAATTTCTGAATTTCTGAAATTCTGAATTTCTGAATTTCTGAATTTCTGAAATTCTGAATTTCTGAATTTCTGAATTTCTGAATTTCTGAATTTCTGAATTTCTGAATTTCTGAATTTTTGAATTTTTTAATTTGTGAATTTTTTCCAATTTTCAGTCATGTCATCTTCTTCCCTCCTCACCACTGCCCTTCAAAAAATTGCCAAAAACTACCGTAACCCAAAAATCGAATTTCTGGGAATTCCAGTTGGCTCACAGAAAATTGGACTGCAAGTAACATTTTCTGGAAGGCCAGAAAATCAACAAAATCTCTATCCAAAAGGGAATACGCTCTTTTTTGAATACGAAAAATGGGAGGATCATTGCAAAGTTGTTTGGCATCGAAGTGATAAAAATCGAGATCAAAAAATCAAAAATTCCAATTTCATCGATCGATTTTTTATCGATTTTTTGGCCCAAATCACAATGGACTTTTCTAAACTTTCCGTTGATTTTTGTGCTGAAAATTCTCGATTTTTGGATTCTTTCAAACGAAATTTCGGGATCAAAGGACCAATAAAAACCAAGGAAATTGCATTAGGAGTTCAAACTCCAGCCGAAATTTCCGGAATTCTACAGTATACCCTGCCTGCACATCTAAAGAAAATTGAGATCATGAGTCCTGGGGATGCGAATGAAAAAATATCGATTGATCAGGAAATCGGAGAATTGGATCAATGGAAAATGGCGGAAATTTTGGATATGGCCGATATTGATGTGGTTGATCCAAAAATTGAAATTTTCAAAAATTTTCGAGAAGCCCAAATTTCATTTTCGAGGCTTTCTATGGAAAATGTGGAGGAGCTGAAAACGGTGGGTTTTCGGTGTTTTCTGGCTTAGAAATTGTAAAGTTTTCGAGTTTCTCATTTAAAATTACCCCCAGGAAGTGATTTTTGGGAAAATAGGATATTTTTAAATTAAAAAAAAATTTTTTTTCAAAATTATATTTTTCGATTTTTTTAAATCAGAAAATATGGGTTTTGGGCATTTTCTAGCTCAAGATCAACTTTTTTTTTGAATTTAACATCAAAAATTATCCCTTAAAACTGATTTTTAGAATATCTTTGAAATTTTGGAATTTTGCAAATTTTTAAAAAATTTTCAAAAAAAAACATTTCTTTTTTTTTTGATTTTCAGCCTATTTCAAATACGTTAAATCCGAAGATCATGTTAAACTTTCTAAGAAACTTTTAAAACTTTTGGAAAACCCAAAATACCGCAACCACTCTGGAAGTGGAACGCCAACCCTAACTTATGACTTTGAGCCAATTTATCTCGGTTCCTGTAAAAGATATCAAAAAGTGGTCAACTGATAAAATATTACTGATATTATGATAAATATTTTATCAGTTGACCACTTTTAAATATCTCTCACAGGAACCGAGATATATAGGTTCAAAGTTGTGTTACGGTATAAACAAAAAATTTCTTCAAACACACATTTTTTTTCCAAAATTTTTATTTTCATTTTTCTGAAACCGTAATTTTTCAGATGTTCAAAAATTCCACCGTTCTTCAAAATTTTCGCATTGGGAGTGTGTCCAATTTCGATATAATTCACGAACTACTTTCAACCCATGGTCAACCATTTTTAGATACTGTAGAAGTGAATCGAGTTCGAACAAGCTGGTTTTTTAAAATCCCGAATGATCCAGAAAAAGTGATTCGAATTAGTCTATTTGCAATTTTAATGGAAATTGCTAAAATCCCGAAATCCGAAGTTCCAAGAGGCGCAACGATTTTGGGTTGAAAATGGAGGAAAATCGTCGTTTTTCGACTTTTTTACATGAAAATTTGTGTTTTTTGGTGTTTTTTTTCTCATATAACTCAATAGAAATTGGTAAAAATTGATTATTTTCATAATTTCTTTGAATTTTTACAATTCTATGGCAATTTTGTGCACTAATATTGTTTCTCCTATTTTTCCCCATTTCCCTCCTCCCGCCACCGAAGAGACGCAGACGGGGCGCCCTTCTTATACGCACTCGGAGGGTAGAGGAGTTGTCTGCTTCCGTAGCGCAGTAGGCAGCGCGTCAGTCTCATAATCTGAAGGTCGTGAGTTCGAGCCTCACCGGGAGCAATTTATTTTATTCTTTTTTGTGAACTGTGTGAGGATGAGAAATTGTTTTTTAATTGATTTCTTTCATTTTTCATGAAAAAAGCAAGAAAAAAAAGAGGCAAAGTATGAAAATTCATCAATTGTGTACTATCAGTTGCTGTCCTGTCCTACCAATTAAACTAGCAGTAAAATAATTGCCAAAATATGACACAATCAAAACAACAAAAATTAAGCAAACAACATAAAAAAAATAAAATATAAAAATTGTAAACAGAATCCGAGAAAACAAATTTAGGAAAAAAAACCATTTAGTTACAGTTTTTGCATTTTCCAGTAATACAGTCGATCATGAAAATATTTCCAGATGAAAATGGACCAAACGAATCCAGCAATTACGTTCAAACCAAGTGAACCCCATGTAAAATATGCACGGATCCCGAGCTGGAAAATTATTTTTTTTTCGGAAATTTTCTAAAATTTCGAAAAAAATATTTTTTTTCGAAAATTCCGACTTTTCCATTTTTCGACGAATTTGAGAAGGAAGTTTCAGGATTTTCGAACTTTTCTATAAAAAAAAGTTTTAAACAATTCTGAAGGTCATGACCTAGATTTTTTGTTTTTATTAGGTCATGACCAGTGTGTCCAAAAATCTAGGTCATGACCTAAAAAATCTATGTCTTGAACTAAAAAATCTAGGTCATGACCTAAAAAATCTATGTCATGACCTAAAAAATCTAGGAACCTAATTATCTTGTTTAATTATCGAAAAATCATAAAAAATGTACAGAAACTCATGAAAAATTGACCAAAAAATAATGAAAAATGGCTCAAAAGTTCATGAAAATAATAAAAAAATCCCACCTCTCTTAAAAAGTTCACATTTTCAACTCCAAATTCTTCGAATTGCACATCAATCCGTTTGAAATCCTTAAAGCTGAGCAATTCCTTCGAAATCGAAAATTTCCGAATTATCGAATTATCTAAAATTTTTGCATAAAAATTTTTCACAGAAAGTGGGCGGAGCCTCGAGCTTAAAACGGCTTTTAGTTTTTCGCAAAATTCAAAATTTTCTGAATTTTTGAAATTTTGAAAATTCAAAGGAAAATAGATAATTTCGGATTCTTGGTGATCCAATAAAACCGATAAATTAAGAATTATTAATTTTTCGGAAAATTCGATTGAAATTTGAGAAATCCGAAAATCCGGAATAGAGCTGTCGCTGAAATTTTTAATAATTTCTAAAAATAATTTCGCTGGGTCCCTGTGTCCCTGTGTCCCTTACTTCTGAATTTTTGAATTTCTAATATCTAGAAATTCGGATGTTCTATAATTTTAAAAAATCTGAAAATTTGAAAAAAAAACTCGCATGGCTAGAAAATCGCAATTTTCTAATATTTTCTCCATTGCCAGTTCCGTATATGTTGAGGAAATAATTTTCAGGCTCTAATAGTGTATTTCTGAAAATTTCAGATTGCTTTTGAAACTGAAAATTCTAAAGTTCTAAAATTCTAAAATTCTAAAAAAACTCACAATTCCAAATTTGATTTTAGAATTCATTTTTTCAAGTTTTCTGGAAAAATCCTTTTAAATACCGAATTTTTGGCAAGCGGACGTTGCCTAGTGTCTAGTTGGAACTAAATATTTAGAAATTTCATTTTCTCTGCGTCTCTCCGTTTTTCTCTCTCTCTCAAAAATTGTGAAATGAATTTAAATTAAATTAAAAGTTTTATAATTACCAGCCTGTTTGCCTCTTCAAAGAGCAGGCTGGTGCGCCTTCTTTCGCCTAGTTTTTTTTTGAAAGTCACGTCTAATTATATTTAAAGGTGGGGGGACAGGAGATTTTTCGTAGTTTTTTTGTAGCTAGCTAGCTTTTGTAGCTCATTCTACCGTGACGGTGTACAACGCTTAATGTCAATCTGCGTCGTCCTCGCCTTTATGTATGCAAACGGGCGTGCGCTTTCTTTTTGCCCGCGTGGCTCAGTCGATAGCTGCGCCGCACCCTCAATCATCGCTCTCACAAGTTCAACTCCTCGAGGGGCATCTTTGAACGGAATTTCGAGAATATTATTTTTTTCATGTCCCCCACCTTTAATTTTCAAACTTTTCAAAATATATGGACAGAGTGACAACAACAGTACCAGAAAGCTGGTGCGCCTTCGTCGCGATTCCATCTAGTGTGTTTTACAGGTGGCTCCGCTCCTCAATTATTCAAAAAGGGTCACGTAAATCATTTATTCAATCTTTTCAAAAGTTGATAGACTGACACCGGGACCAACAATAGCGTGTAGCATTTTATAAATAAGGAAGATAAGAATGGTTTATTGACAAAACAACAAAAAGAAATATAAACAAAAAATGTTTCGAAATAATTAACTACATTAAAAATGAATAAATTAGAATTCAGAACAAATTCAATGTCTCTAAAATTTTGAAAAAATTTTTTTCCAGGGAAAACCTCAAAATTTGCTCCTCCGAATGTTCAATTCTCAATATTTTGTCTGGATCTACAGTATCCAAAAGCCAAATACGTTTTTCTCCATAATCATCTGATTCAATCCTTGGATTCTCTCCAATTGCTTCGAAAACGCCATTTTCCAATCGCTGATAGTGAATTTTGCATTTCTTGAAATTTGGATTGCCCAGGAATTTCTGGAAAAAAGGTCCATTTTTATATATTTCAGATTTTTCCGATTTTTCAGAATTCTTATATTGAATTTTCAGATTTTCAGAGGAAAAAAGATTTTCAGAACTTTCGAAAAATCGAAAATCGGAGACTTGAGAAAAAAAAACAATCTTAGCTCACCTCTTTCAACAAAACCACATCTTCCGGAGACAAATCGATACAGTAACCCTGGGACCCAGGGACTTGCGGACCCAGGCACCCAGGGATCGAAGAAACCATGGATTAAGGGATCCAGGGAATTAAGGAACCATGGATTCAGGGATCCAGGGATCCAGGGATCGAAGGAACCATGGATTAAGGGATCCAGGGATCCAGGAATCCAGGGATCGAAGGAACCATGGAACCATGGATCGAAGGAACCAGGGATCGAAAGAACCATGGATTCAGGGATCCAGGGATCCAGGGAATTAAGGAACCATGGATTCAGGGATCCAGGGATCCAGGGATCCAGGGATCGAAGGAACCATGGATTAAGGGATCCAGGGATCCAGGAATCCAGGGATCGAAGGAACCATGGATTAAGGGATCCAGGGATCCAGGGATCCAGGGATCCAGAAATTCAGAAAAATTCTAAAATTCTAAAACTGCTCACCTCCTTCAACAAAGCCACATCTTCCGGAGCCAAATCGATACAGTAACCCTTGGATTTTTCAAAATTCGAAAAAATCGATGGACTCCAAATATCGAATCGATAAATTTCAGCGATTTTCGCATTTTTCCACTGCTCCGAATTGCGAATTTCCTCAGTTTGAAGAATATAATTTTCCCAAGTTGAGTTTTCAATTTCAATATTTTCCAAAAAATTTGAATCCATCATTTTTAAAATTTCAAAAGTCTCAATATTATTGAAAACTCTTAAAGATATTTTTTTAGTTTTCAAAAATCCAGTTTTTCCAAAATTTTCCAAAAATTTGGAGCTATTTCTGGTTGAAAAATTGATGGAAAAAATTTCTAGAGGCAATTTTTGGGATTTAAAAAATTCAAGAAAAATCTGAAAATCTCGAAAAAATGATTCGGAAAATTCGGGATCTTGATATTTCCAATATACTAGATTTTTGGAATTTCTGGATTCAATTTCTAAATTTATCGACTTTTCAGCTACATTAATCCCAAGGGATACTGTATTTGGGCTTGGTTTGACGTCATCGATGAAGTTG